TACAGACAGTGGTCAATAAACATTAGTTCCCTTTCCGTCCTGCAAGGCCAGTTCCACCTGGAGAATCCCACCCAGGCTTTCAAGGATCAGGTCACATCAGCTTTTTCCCAGGTTCAAAATGCATTTTTGATAAAGTATTCCTGTTCAAATGCATTTGTTGCTGTAAATCACAGCTACGATGTATTCAGCACCCATTGCAAGACAGGAGCCACACTAGGCGACTTACATATAATCCTATTCTACCTTCACAGTGACCCTACTATGCCCATTTTATAGAAGAGAATTTGAAGTTCTGAGAAGAGAAGTGACTTGCCCAGAGACACAGCTAGGAGATGGCAAAAATGAGATCTGATCCGAGGACTGCCTGACCCCAAAGTCAAGCACTTACAACCACACTTCATTCCTGTGACCTGCGCTGGCCTCGGATGTGTCACTGACAGGCAGCCTGGAAGCTGTCTACAGAGACAGACCGCCTGACACTATTACCTCTCCCCACTGGACAGCCACTGGCACAGGCCAGGAGCTTTTAAATACTGCAAAAGTAAAGGACAGCAGTTAACTTTAAAATAACGTAGTACACAGATTTCATAAATTCCGCGTTAGAAAATCTACTCACGACGTTGAACTGCCTGAGCCTCGAACTCAGCCACAGCTGAGTCTCAAACCAGGAGCAGAGTCTCGACCCTGGGCACAGGCTGAGCCTCTGCCGAGATACTCGCTACCCGCTGATCCCGTCACTGACCGCAACTCGTCAGGTCACAGATGGAGCCCTGAGGACAGTCCTAAAAAAAGCCCCCTCGGCTGTTCCTAGGTAACTGAATCGGGTCGTGACCTCGGGCCCCTCTGAAGGCCCTGACTGCCCCCTCCCAGACACACGGACTCATTCCCAGACCCCCGCCCGAGGTGGCTCAGAGGGATACCTCGCTGACTCGCCTTCACCTCCGCAGACTCCCCGAGGGAGCGGTCGCGCGCACCCCCACCGGCAGACTGCTCCGCCGAGAACGCGGAAGGGGCGGTGCTAGGGCCAAGCGGTGGGCCGGCCCAGAGAGGGGCGTGGAGGGCGGAGCTGTGCCTGCGACCCGGTGGCTACCCAGGGGAGGAGCGGGACTAGCTAAGTAGCTGCGCAGGCGTGATAGGAGAGGGGCGGGGAGATTATTAGCAAAGGGGTGGGGCTTAGTTCCGTTCGAAGCTTGCTTCGGCGAACTGAGAGTTAGGAAGGTTAGGAGGCGGCAAGTGTAATTAATATTTACTGAGCGCTTCTGCATGCCAGGAAGACTTGCCTTTTACATGTGGGGAAATGCTGCTTTCCTAAAACAGGAGGCAATTCTGTAAAATTTCTTTAAAGGTCTTGGTGGCCAGAATTTCACTATGAGAGTTTTTTCTTTGAGTAAAACATTACCCTCAGTATTTCAGAATTGAAAAAAAAAAAAAAACTTTAAAAAGTGAATTTCTTGGAGAAAAACAACTGTAAATAGATTAATATCTCAACCAGCGTCCCCCCACGCACCCCTTTCCAGGGTGGAGATGCACTGAGAAGATGAGAGTGCTGACTTGGATTTAGTTTAGGTTCTTACTCAATGTTTCCCTCTTAGATGGAAGTAAACATCCGTCCTTTGCCTGCTCAGGACTGTTGTGAGGATCTGTTGAGCAATGCTAAAGAGCTTCTTGGACTTGCTTCCTATCATCCACCTGACAAATGTTTGTTCCCTTTCCCCTTCTGGGCTCAATCTGTCTATTTGTATGATGGAAGGAGGTTGGGAATATTAGGGAACACGCAGGACTTTGCTAGATTTCCCAATCTGGGTGAAGGCTGGAGAGGGAGAGTCTTCTTCCAAGCGTCTTCCTTCTCTGCAACCTGAGGGCCCCTATATATCTTGACCTCTCCTAGTCATTCCTTTCCAGGTTCACCCAAGCCTTAGAGGCCATGCTGGCCTGTTCCCTCTTTGTCCCTTGACTCAATAGCTTGCTGGCCCTGTGTCACTCAGGACCTATGTTCCAGGTTCTCAAAGTTGCTATGTCCCACACATGGCAATGAAGTTCAGTTAACATTGGATGAGGGCTTTGTGGGGCTCAGAAGGAGGGCTCCCCCAAAGCAGGTGGAGGTCCAGCCATGCTTGTGGTTCCTTTCACTATACATTCCACAGCTCCTTGAGGGGTAGGGAGTAGAGTGGGAGAAGGAAACCTCAAAGAGGCATGAGTGCTCATGGGAGCCAAGGGTGGTAGGGCGACTTTTCTTCAACAGGTAGGTACTCTGCTCCAGGGTGGAGAAGATGGCTTACTTCCTCATTCCTGCTCCAATGGGAAAATAAAACCCAGTCTATGTTCCCAATCAAGCTGCTGCCACTCTACCTCCAATATATTACCTCTCTTAGGACCCTATCCTGCTAGGTTTTGCCCTAGCTGCTCTTCCTCTGCATTCTTCAGGCTCCAGTTGTGTCTTTTCTCTCTTCTCCTTTATCTCTACCTCTAGGTATCACTCCTTGATTCTCTCAAAGTAGTCTTGTGTCAGCTTCCTGATGTATTTACATGCATTCCCATGTAAAGTGCACGCCTTGGACCACAAATAAATTTATTCTCACTGCCATGGTATATTTCAAAATGACTATGAGCCTGTAGCAGGGACTTTGTAACAGTCTGAGCTGTCCAGTGACTGATGAGTTAGTGAACGATCTGTCATAGGAGGTGTGCAAACAGCACTTATTTAGAAAGTTGGCCTTGGGCCTTCTCGGATGAAGCAGAAGAAAGGGTAGCAGAGTGGAGGACCTTCCAGATTCTAGAGCATAAAGGGAGAGAAGAGTGCCAGGCAGTTGGCCAAAGACAGACTTAATTCAACAAGCTATTGTATGTCAAACACTAGAATTGTACCTGACACACAATGAGCATTAGCTATTGTTATTAACAGTTTACAGACTGTACGTAATAAAGGAGCAGAGATCAGGTAGTCCTTTGTGCCTACTCCTGATCATGAAATAGATGGGAAATTGAGGTCGAGAGGTAGAAAGGATTTGCTGTGGACTAGACCTTAGGGGCTGGACGGGACTAGAACCCAGGCCTCTCCCTCCTGGGAGAGCCTCTTCACAAAACTAGGCTGGCCCCTTTGCAGGTAGAGGGAAGAGCAAGGGTGGGCCTTTTCTGACACTTAAGAACCAAACTTTTTCAACTCCTATTCAGGCAACTTGTGGGTTAGGGGCAATGAAATAACAGCAAGACTCGAGCCAAGAGATGCAGGTATCTCCAGGAGAGTAAGCTTGGGAATCAGCCCTATGTCCTACCACCTCCACTTCAGCTCCACCCAGCAACAAGAATTTTTTTTTTTTTTTTTAAAACAAGACAGGGTCTTGTTCTGTCACCAAGGCTGGTGGCGTGCAGTGGCAAGATCATTGCTTACTATAATCTCGAACTCCTAGGCTCAAGCAATCCTCCCACCTAATCCCCTTTAATAGCTGGGACTACAGGTAGGTGCCACCATGCCCAGCTAATTCTGGGGTGAGGTGGAGGGACTTTCTTGTAGAGATAGGGATTTGGTCAGGATGGTCTTGAACTTCTGGACTCAAGCACTCCTCTCACTTTGACCTCCCAAAGTGCTGGGATTCTAGGCATGAGCCACTGAGCTAGGCCAGTATGCTCCTCTTGAGAATAGCTCCTCTCCTGTAATTAGGGTTAGGACTGTATTGCCACTGCAGCTCAAAAAAACCACCCAGATTAAGGGGGTGGAATGAGAATAGCCAGTGTCAGGTGATCTAAGCTAAAACAAGTAAAGTTTCCCATCAGACTGAAGTCCTGGAAGGCCCTTTTCCTCCCTAAGGGTCCCACCTAGCCTGTTCTTCCCAGAGTCCTTAGGGTCCCACTGGAGAGAGCTGAGCCAAACATTACCATATCAACCAGCCCTTTACATAGTCCAAGATCTCAGGACAAAAAGCCCTCCCATTCCCATTCTGGCCTAGTTCCTGCCAGTCTGCCAGGATCCACATGGCACCCAGACCACACAGTTTTCCTCCAATGGCTGCTTTCTTTTGCCTCTTTTATTTTACAAAAAAAAAAAAATAACAATAAAGTCTTCCCTCTGTTTCATAAAAATAGATCCCCCCCCCCCCAATCAGTCCTTGTCACAGTCTACCTCGGAGGAAGGAATCTCCAACTCTCCTCGTTCCAGAGCCTCTGGCAAAGCTCCCAGTCCAATTCTGGAGACAGCAGAGGTAGAAGTCCTAGGCCCACCTGGCTGGCCCCAAAGCCCCATCTGTTTCCCCAGAGGACAGACAGCTTCTGAGCCATAAAGCTGGGCCTGATTTTGGAAGCTTAGCTCAGGAGACAACCCCAGAGAACTCAACAGGCAGTGGGGCATTCTGGCATCAGGCTAGAAATCCTTGCTCAAAGCAGGAACAATTGTCCTGGAGTGTCCTGTCAAGCCCTCTTTCCGTGTGCATCTCTGTGTAGCAATCAGTGGACCCCAGGTGGAAGTCAGGATCTCTGGTTTCTACTCCAGCTTCACTAAAGCCTCACTGTGAAGGCTTGGACAAGGTTGCCCTCCTCTTCTAGCTTCAGTTTCCTCCTGTGTACATTAAGAGAGTGAGACGGGATAATCTCAGGTTCCTCTTGGCTCTCCATCCTGGACTCTTTGAGTGAAAGCTCTCGGAAGGCAGGACCCTGCTTCTGCCTCAGTTTCACCATATGTGGGTCTGGGTATAGGGTTGGGCATGGAGTTACTGAGTAATGGAGTACTGAATGAACATCCAGTCTCTTTGGCGATAGCTGTGTTCTGAGATCCAACCATCTGGCTTGTCTCAGGGATAGGAGGAAAGGAGGCAGGTACTTTTTTTTTTTGAAACAGTCTCACTCTGTTGCCCAGGCTAGACTGCTGTGGCATCAGCCTAGCTCACAGCAACCTTAAACTCTTGGACTCAAGTGATCCTCTTGCCTCAGCTTCCCAAGTAGGTGGGAGTATAGGCACCCACCAGAACGCCTAGCTAAGTTTTCTATTTTTTAGTAGAGATGGGGTCTTGCTCTTGCTCAGGCTGGTCTTAAACTCCTGAGCTCAAGTCTCTCTTAGTCTCCCAGAGTGCTAGGATTATAGGTGTGAGCCACTATGCCTGGCCAAGGCAGTTACTTTTAAGTAAGCACTCTGCAAGCCTAGAAGAGTCCATTCACCAGCTACGTGATCCTCAATGTCTGAGATGGGAGACAAGACTCAAGCTCCTAGTCAAGTTCCAGTAGGTCCTTGAGCTGAAGGATTATTTTGTGCTGGGCTTCAGATTGGAGGAGCCAGGTCTGTAGATTCTGAGTGCTAGACTGAGTATGATTCCAAGTTTAAGGGTCAGGGGACCTCTGTGGACATGAGGGATCATTCCCAAGCCCCAGGAGGCTGTCTATAATCAGGTCCTCCTAGAGACAAAGAGATGAATGAAATGACAGCTCTTGGGCATCTCTGGCTGAGCAATTCAGAACCTGTGTCTGCAGGAAGTCAGGAAAAGGTTCCCCCCTCCCACCTCCCCCCAATTCCCTAAGACTCACGCTGATGGAACATGGTAGCCTGGAAGGTTCACACATAGAGCCGCAAGTACAATCACAATCTGTGTACTTACACACATAGTCATGTACACTGAATGGTGACACTGACCTGTCATCCCTCCTACAGTGGTCAAGCTCTGATGGTCCCAATCTCTTTATCTCTCCAACTGTCCATCTATCTGCCCAGTGTTTATGCAGGGCCTACTATGTGCCATGGAGGGTCTAAGGCAGCTTGCTCTCACAGACACACCCCACAGTCAAAATCTCACACACACACACCCTGGCATCTGTGCTCTTCACATACAGCCTGGTCACTCAGTTATACCTTCTTTGCCATCACCTCAGCCATATCCATATTCTGCAAATAAGCTTGGGAACCACCATAGAAAAGTCAGGCATCACAGAAGAAATCCTCTAGCCTATACCACTTCCACACTTCATGCCAGAGGTTTAACTCCCTTTTCCTTCTGTTTGCCCACTGGAAGCCCTCCCTTTCTCCTTTCACAAGCAGTCAGGGGGACATGTAGGCAGACTCCTGAGAACCAGAAGTCCAGAGGCTTTGGGTGTGTGGAGGGGGTCCCTGGGCCCTCAGAGTCTTCTACCACCAGACTCCTGAGGCCTCCCTCCCCAGCCACCCTGTGTTCAGATGGTCCATCTGACTGGCAACAAAGTTCAGGCCTGGGCTCAGTGACAGATCCGCTCTGTCATCTCCCTCTGTAGAGACACAAGGTGGGGAAGGATCAGTCAGAGCTCAGTCTTTTGGGTAGCTCTCCCCAAACCATACGGCCCAGCTGCTCTTTTCCCTGAGCCTGGCCCCTTCCCACCCCCTAACTCTAACTCCAGGCTGCAGATCTGGGTTTATGAAGTGACACTTAAATCAATTCTCTATTTAAGTACAGGGTTCACTGTTAAATGAATTGCCTTCCCTGAATTTATCCACATGGGCACTGGAGATTTCTTAAAGCAGGCAGCCTTTGGATCTGAAAACTCAGAGGCTAACTTTGGTGGGGAGGGCAGAGGGAGTTTGGCCTCACCAGTGGCTCCAGCTCCCTTTGGTCCACCAGACTGAACTCGCGGATGAAGTAGTAGAAGTGCTTGTAGCAGGTGTTGACATGTGCCTCCGCCCCCATGCTGAGGATGCTGTCGAAGTGGTGGATGTAGACATGGACAAAGACTCGGAAGAGGCGGGTCAGGATCTTGGTACAGACTTGCTGGAAGTTTTTGGGGAAGGGAACTCCTAGGGGTTGAAAAGGTACAGAAGGGGAGTGAGATCACTATGCAGGTTCCAAACTGCTGTCACCAGGCTAGCTCTCTCCCAGCACACTTCTCAGTACACTTCCCTTTGGGAGATGGAGAGAGTGATTTCACTTTCTCCTATACTTGCCTTTTTAATGAAGCACACATCTGACTGTGTCCCTTCCCAGCTGAAAAACTCCTCATCTTCCAAATCTTCCCACCAGCTGTGCAATCTTGTAGGGGGTTACTGACCAGCTGTGATGAAAGTCTGACCCAAACTTTCCTCAGTAATGTGTGCATCTGCAGGGTCACTTACATACCACCTTGTATATGATTCCAAGGGGTGTTCATCAACATCTGGGTCTGTTTTAAAAAACCTGGGCCTTCAGGATTATGTCCTAACTTCCAAGCGTGGTACTGCTAAGGCCTTTCATGATCTGACCCTGACCTCCCTCTCCAGCCCTCCCCAACCCCAAGTCCTTCCTCTTTCAACATTGACACAGTAGTCCCAGCCCTCCAATCCCTCCTAATTCTTCAAGAACTAGTTCAGATATCACTCATGCCTTCAAATATTTAGTAACACAAACATCTAGGAGCCAGGCCCTGTGCAGGACCTTCTGTATCTTCTGCCTCTAATACTTAGGACAATTCTGCTAATGGGTCTGACTGCCATTCTAAAATGGAGGTGCACAAAGATGAAGCTGCTTGCCCAAGGCCACATAACTGGAGGCAGGATTCAAACCGTCTTTGCACCTGTCAGAGATAAATGATACAGACCCTGCCCACAGGAAACTTCAGACTCTGTGTAAAGGGCCCAGTTTCCACACAGCCCCCCATCCCCAGGGTGGGCTTTGTGGCATATGTCCCCCTTCCTGCCGTGGCAAAGTCAGCCCAGGCTTAAGACACCCCAAAGTCGCACAGGCTAGGATGGGATACGAGCCCAGAGTCAGATCCATGCCTGGCCTACCTGGTTCCACAGATCCTTTTCTCTTCTTCATTGCTCTCAGGTAGGGTTGAGCCCTGCCAACTCAGCCTCGGTCCCACAGAATTACTCTGCTCATCCAGACCTGGGACCCTAGACCCCAAGACTATCTAAGCCCCAGTTCTGAACCCCACCTAATGCAGTGTATTGTACCTCTCTTGGCCTCAGTTTCCTCCTAGGTAAGATGAAGTACTCATTGTTGGGCATGACAGTGCAAGGAATGGCAGGCTACTGGGTGGGGAGGAGCTGTGGACACTGAATTGTGACTCAGGGCCCAGCCTCCTTCAGCATTCACACTTCTCCCCTCTGGGCTTTGCCCCCTGCCACACCCATTGCTGATCCCCACAGCCTTACAGGGATGAATACAAGGCCAGGTAGGGGCTGGGCCCAGGTGCAGGTGGGACTGCTGTGACGAACGCAGTGTCATGTCTGCTCAGCACCCTGACCCACACCCCCTTCCTGCTTGGGTGGGGAAGCAGGGCCAGGGTGACATCACTCATCTCCCTTCTTGTCTGTGGCTCACCAGGCTGCCCAGCTGAGATAAGAAAAAGGCTCCATGGCCTGAGTCTAACAAAGAAAAATTCTACCCTTAGAGCTCCAGTCTGAGGGGAAGATACTATCCAGGCAGCCCAACCTCAAGTCTCCTCCCTCCCCTGGAAATCAGGAGTCAGCGGGACCTTCCAGGAGGCTGAATCAGCCAGCCAGGGAACCTGCCAAGAACGTCTTGGGGTACCTGTTCTGGAAGGTTCTGAGAATCATAGTGTCTGTGGTCTTGCCACAGTGGTCCATGCTCAAACTTCAGACAAGAAGAGCCCCAAACTGGGAGTCAGGCAATCCTAGTCAAATAGTTGACCTTGAGCAAGATACTTAACCTGTGTCAACCTTAATTTTCTCTTCTACAAAATCGGGATGAAAATCAACCCCCAACCCTTTGTTGCCAAATCGCACCAAATGCCTCATCTGTGCAATGGGCTCCCAGTGGCTCCCTCCCTCTCTGTCTAGGCCTGACCCTTGGGCGAGGCAGTGCTCACCAACACGCGTCGGAAAGACCTCCTCGTCATTGATGAGGCTTTCGATCCAGTCCATGAGCAATGCCATATAGCGCGGCGCCGAGAGCTTGGCTGGCCGCCGGTACTGGCGCTCGTCCTGCCAGCGGTACTCGTAGCGGGGCCCGCCGGCCATGACTGGGCAGCTGGTCTCGCTGCAGCGCTCAGCCATGGTGCCGTAGATGAGGTTGATGCGGTTGAAGAAGTCCACCACGTGCACCGCAATCCAGTCATCGATGTTCTCGCCGGGTGGCAGCCTCACCACGCTGCGCAGGTCCAGGCCAGACTTCAGCGAGGCCTGTGCTTTCTTGTACAACTCAAAGCGCTGAGTGCCTGGTTCAAATCGCTTCCGTGGCCGGAACGTCTTATCCTTGGCGAACACCTGCTTTAGGCACAGTGCCATGGCCAGGTCAGGCCTGGGGCTGGTGTCCAGGGGCTCAGACCTGAGGATGCCAGGAACAAGGGCATGGGGAACCTGGTTGTCAGAGCCTCATCAGCTGGGCTCTGACTTCCCAATACATTCTACCTCTCACCTTGCAGTTCAACCTCTGCACGTTCTGCCCGGAGTCTCAACCCTCACTGGCCCCGAAGGTCCAGTGCCTGGCCGCTTTCCAGGCTACCTGAATCTCCCCTGCTAGACTCACACAGCCTTCCCATCTTGTTTGCTCTCCGCTTCCTGTTGCATCTCAGGCCTGGGCTCCAGATAGGTGCTTCTCAGACTGGCTGTTCAGTGGTCTCAGAAGCTTGCTGCAGGCTCCATCCAGGCCCAGGAGATAGGGGCCTGGATGAGATGACCTCTGGGAGCCCCAAAGGCCAGCTGGTGCAGCGTGGGAGAACCCAGCTGCATTGTGCTGGGGGCAGAGGGAGGGCCCTGGCTTCCTCTGGGATATCCCGTAGTCCATCCGGCCACCGGGGATTCCCAGGGAGCAAGAGGGACTTTTCTACTAAAAATGTCCTTTCTTTTTCTTTTTCATTCTGAAAGAGGAAAGAGCCCTCAGGTGGGCCAGCTGGGAGGCCTCTGAGTATGACTGCAGGCTGGAGGAGGAGGGTGGCAGGCCTGGAAGGGTGCTATTTCCTCTGACAATGGCAGGAGAGCCCTTCCCCCAAGCTAGCCTCCTTCTGCCCCAAACCTGAACAGGCCATTGTCCCTTCTCCCTGCCCCTGACAGTTAGTAGACATTCCTATAGGACCTACTATGAGCCTGGCACTGGGAGGTAGTAGAGTACAGTCATTTCTACCCAGCTGGGCCCATCTAGAGCTCAGACAAATTTGCTTTGCCTTGTAGAACAGAAGGATCCCAGGTTCAGAAGAGACTGTGTGCTTGTGTATATATGTGTGTGTGTGTGTGTGTGTGGCTGGGGGTGGGGTTAGTGATCTAAGAGGAAGAAGTCATGAGTTGTGGTCCTAGTACCACCACTGGCTTACTGGGTGACCCCTGTAGCACCATGGATTTGGCTCCTATGCAGCCAAGTTTCAGAGACTGTCAGGGTGGTTATCTTGTCTCCTCTGTGAGCTACTGGGAAATGCAGACTCAGGCACCTGCTGAGACTGGGATTTAGCTACAGACCGAGCACTAAGGCTGAGTGTAAGCTAAGTACTTAGTTCTGGCTGCCGACTGAACACTGACCTGGGCCCTGGTAAGTTTGAGCCCAGGGTCTAGCCCTCAGCCCTGCACTGAGCCTTGATTATAGCCACAGACAAAGCCTGGGCTTGACCTCTCACTTTCTGACACTGGAGCATTTTCCCTTCTTACATGTCTGATAAGTCTGGGACAGGATTGGAGAAGGGAGGGTGGGAAACAGGTGAAAATTGAGTCTAACCAAAAGGTATGGCACATAAGTCATGGGGGCAGGTGAGTTACTTCTAGCAACAAATCAAACTAGTGGAGATGTTTGCAACAAGTGTCCTTCCCTGTATGCACAACAGGCAGGCCAGGATGGGGGCAGTGAAGGAAAAAGAGAGGCGTTTGGAGAGTAGGGACAGGCCTTCTGGTAGGATCTTGTCCTCTTGAAAGAAACCACAAAGATGCAGAAGGTCATCTCATTCATCCCAACTCCTTACTTAACTTCCCACCCACACAAGTCCCCAGGGTGGGCAAAGAGGAGGAGGTTTCTACACTTTACTTGCTGACTCTCTTAAACTCTGGTTGGTGAAGGTGCTTCCAAAATCACTCATACTGCAATTAGGTGGTGTTCTGGGGCTTTCCACCTTTTCCTGGCCCCCTCTACTGACAGTTACAAGCAGGTCCTTACCTTCACATTCAACAACACCCTGCCTTTCCTGCCTCACACCCCACTTTCCTACATCAACCACCCGGGGCTTTTTCTTGATCCCTGAGCACAGCCCCTACTCTCCTGCCATGCTAGTCCCTCCACTTGCCCCACCATACATCCTCATGCTGCCTCCTTCCATAGCCTCCTTTGCTGCAGAGCTCCTTCTTGGAGAGAGGCTGCTCTTTGGCCACTGCTTTCCCATCTGACCCACAACTTAGGACAGGCCCTTGCTCAGTCAGTGCTCAGCCTTTACGTAAAGCTTAGATACAAACATCCCTGAGAAATCAACTGGCCCAACTCACTTGCACAGATGAGGAAACTAAGCCCCAGGAAGGGGACTTGGGGAGCCTGCATTCCCATAGCAAACTATAAGCAGAGCTGGGAACTGGGACATGCTGGGGCTCAGCTAGTGACAAAGAGTAAAGGACCATTTTCCTGCACTGGCTGGTCACTGGTCTGGTGGAGCTAGGGAAGAATAGGGAAGTGGGGGGAGAGGAGGAAGCATCTTGCCCACCAAACAGCCCAGACTGCTTCCTGCCCCCAACACACTGACCCACAGCAACTTGGGTGTTCTGACCAGTAAGCTAGAATCCCACATTCCTTCCTACACTCCAAGGAAATATAAGCTTGGGGGTGGGTACAGGGGAGGTACTCTCCCATCCAGGCCACTTACCTCTCCTCATCCCCCCCCCCCCCCCCCCGCCCTCACAGAACCACTACCTTCATCCTCCTGACCCCACTTCCTAACGCTGCATGTCCTGTTACTCCTAGAGTGGCTGGCCAGTGGCTTGCTCACTCCCTCGGTGGGCATTTGGGCTTCCCAGATGAAAATCACAGGGTGACCCAGCCTGTTTCTGGGCCAGGATACATCTCCACTCCCTGACCCTGGTACAGCATCTGGGCCAGAGGATGGCTCCAGATTGACCCCAGAATTCAGCCTGGGACGCTCTACATGGCAGAGATCTAAAAGTAGAGGCGAAGACTCTCCTCTCCCCGCCCGTGCGGCGCTGGGCCTCCCCGCCCACCTCCCCACGCACCCCGTCTTTCCCCGCCCCGCACACCCGCACACCCCCATCTTCAACCCGACTCTCAGCGCCCCACAGGTCGGTCGTAGGACCCAGAGAGCCTGGCCTGACATTTCCGCTCCCGGAGACACGCCCCCTCCACACCGCCACCCCAACCCCGACTTTCAAAGCTCGGAGTCTCAGACCCCAGCCTGAGGACAGTGGCTAGCCTGCCTTCGGGCACAGGTCGCCTCCGGATGGTGCCACGCCAGGACAGCCGAAGAAATGAAAGTGGAAGGAAGGCTGTGCCGCGGGGGGCACGGGAGCTCACTCACGGGTCGCCTCAGCGGCAGAGCTCAGTCCTCTTCTGGCCGCAGGGTCACATTCCCCGCGCGCTGACTCGCCCTACGCCTGCCAGCCCCCTGCCGTGCCGGCGCTGGCCAGTCTGTCCGCCTGCCTGCCCCGCCGGGCCCACGGCCGCCCTCTCGCCCGTAGGCGACGCCAGCTCCGCCCCGGGCCCAGGCGCGCTGCGGCCACGGGGCGGGGAGGGGGCGGAGAAAGGGGGCATCCCCCACCCCCAACGCAGACACAACCCGCCTTCCCGGAAAGTCCTTATCGAGCTCCTAGCTTCCCGTTGGGCAAAAGAAAATTGAGCACCCCGCCCTCTCGGAGACTCTTTGGACCCGCTCCAAGGAGGCAACTTTTGATACCTAGACTGCAAAATGGGGACAAGCCTAGCTAGTCCTGAGCAGAAACAAAATAGCTGCAAGACAAATGGTGGTTACCTGACCTTCCTGGAATCATTAAATCTCAGAACTCAATAAGGGACAAGAACTGTCCTATCCACTCAATGTCCTCAGCTCCCGGCACACAGCAGGAACTCAAACCCCACTTGATGAAGGAATGTATGAGTGAATGGTTGAACACCTTGGGAATCATGACCTGGGACCCTCGCTCCTGAGGGGACTGGCCCAGAAGAGTGCTCAAATCACACATTTCATCTCCTTCACATAGGGCCAGGGGGCCTTCGTCAGGCTGGACTGGTCCTCCTCTTCCCTCCCACTGAAAATCACCCCATTTCCCTCTGCCAGACTTTTGCTGTTCCCATTTTGGAATCCTCCTTTCTTTTACCCAAATACAGACTCCTCAAGACCTGATCTGCTTTCCCTCCTTTTCTACCTGAGCTCCTCCCCTGAGGACAGACAGATGTCCCAGCATTCAATGGACATGGTGGCCCCCAGACCCAGAGACCAGTTTGCTAGCCCTGTCTGGGATGAGAGGGAAGATTGGAGGCCCTCTAAACTCGGAGTGCCAAGGCAGAAAGCTGTACTGTAGAAGTCATCCTGGAGGCAGACAGATATGACCAGATGTCAGTAGGTGAGAGCTAGAAGGTGGAGGTGCATATTTACCATGACACAGTTACCCTACTGGGCTTTTTTTGTGTTTGATGGTGTGAGAACACACGGGATCCTTAGGAATCCTCACACGTAATACTGAAGATATGTTTTTTTTTTTTTTTTTTGCTGAACACTTGTATTTACCCCAGTCTAAAGTTCTGTTTATTTTTTGCAATTTTTGGTCAGGTTTAGAACCTGCCACCTCCAGCATACAGGGCCTGTGCCCTACTCCTTTGAGCCACAGGCGCCACCCCAAGTTCTGTGTATTTTTATGTCTGAGTCTTAATTCAGTCCCAAGTCCTCTATAAACAAACATTTGCTTATGGAGGAAATTCAAGTATATTCTTTTATTTATTTGATATCCTTATCAATACCCTTTGAGCATGAGTCTATACACTGAGGTCAGGGTCCTGGGTGACAAAGCTGACTGACCCAGTTGCTGACGATACACACAGATAACACAAAGTCCCAGCTCAGTCATGCAGGGGTAAGAATGTGGTTAGGGACTGAGGGAGCCTCCCTAGAGTGGGAGTATCTGCAGGAAATGCAGATATGTGGAACACCCAAATAGGGTATTTTGAGGAGAGTTCAATGAAGGCACTATTTAGCGGTGTAATCAGAGTGTGGGAAAACCAAACAGAAAATGGGCAGTGGGTGGCTGTCAGCCTAGGCTGAAAGAGTGTGGAGAGGGAGTGGGAGGTCAGAGCCATAAGGAAAGGGCTGTTGCAGCCTAAGGTGGGCCCAGATGGGGAAGACCCAGCCCACAGCAGTCATACAGGGAAGGACTGGGGGTAAATAAAGGCCCTCTCATCTCTCCTTCCCTCTTATCTGTGGCCATGTTTCCCCATTACCTGAATCCTCCTAGAAGCTAAGGACAAGGGAACCAGTTGCTGCTGTCCATAGAGGCCAGTCATTTGGGTTATAGAACTGGGTGGTGGGTGAAGAGTCATCTGGAAAAGAAACTTCACAGAGGAAATGACTTAGAAACTGCTTGTGGGCTCGGCGCCTGTGGCTCAAGTGGCTAAGGCACCAGCCACATACACCTAAGGTGGTGGGTTCAAATCCAGCCCGGGCCTGCCAAACAACAATGACGGCTGCAACCAAAAAAATAGCCGGGCGCCTGTGGTCCCACCTATTTGGGAGGCAGAGGCAGGAGACTCGCTTGAGCCCAGGAGGTTGCTGTGAGCTGTGATGCCACAGCACTCTATCCAGGGGGACAGCTTGAGGCCCTGTCTCAAAAAAAAAAAAAAAGAAAGAAAGAAAGAAAAGAAACTGCTTGTGCTTTCCTTACCATTCGGTTCTAAACATTTCATAAATTTCATTGCAATTTCCTTTTTAACACTTGGATGATTTAAAAGTTTGTTTTTCAGTTTCTCAACCTACAGGAGGTTTATGTTTTTCTTGTTGACTTCTAATTATATTGCATCGTAGTCAGAGATTTATGGTCTGTAAGATTCTTTGGAATTTGATGTGACTTCCTTTGTGGCTTTGTACACGGTCATTTTCTGTACCTCTGAGCTGGATTTTACAGGCTAGGCAGGAGTTTGGTGAAGAGTAAAAAGCACAGAAACTTACACTGTGGGAAATGTAGACGATCCATTTTGAAGGAACCTCAGAAGTTTCCACCTCATCTACAGAGTTCCTGGGTGTCTATAGGATAGGAAGTAGATGGAAAGGTTGGAGGAACCCAGAGAGCCCAGATCCCTCAAACACCTGTAAACTCTTTTTGCTGCTTTCAGTCTGGGCTAGAGAGACTGGTTCTTCCAGGAGGCTTGGATAGGGCTGAGAAGATGCAGACCTTGGAGAACAAGGTCATTTACCATGTATCAGCTGTGTGACTTTGGGTTAGCCCTGCCCTCTCTGATGGCACGCTGTGAACTGACAGCACTGCATACCTCCAGAGGACAAGTACTGTTCCCCACTACTGTATCCTGAGTATGATGAGTGGTCTAGAGAGGCTCAGACAAAGCCCATCTCTGAAACCTGGTGGGAGCCAGTAAGGACCGAGGAGAGTACATGCCTTTTTCCACTGTACAGCCTGGGCACATGCCTCCTCAGTAGGTGTTCCAAGTGTCAGCAGGGTGGTGTCTCTGTTGCTATTCTGCTGTGTGTCTCTGGGAAAGCCCCTGCCCCTCTCTGGGCCTCTGTTTCCTCAGTTTTGTAAGGCTTTTGCTTACAAAAGCACCTTCTAGCTGTACCAAGTACCATCCCAAGTGCCTTATCACAACAAGCTTCTTGCTGTTTCCCTTGCTAGGCCTGTACCCAGAAACTCACTGACACAGAGTGGCCTCTCCCTGGAGACCCCCCAGCCCCTCTTATGCCAGGAAAGGTCCCCCATCTATACCCTAGAATGAACTGTTGCACCACAAGTCGCCTTACCAGGCATCTGGCAGCTGCTATTGCCTGAGAGGGCCCACCCTCTCCTCACTCTGTCCCAGGGAAGAGTTTCTATTTCAGTTTCTGCTCCTCCCTGCCCACGAGGCAGGATCTCCCTTCCTGCATCTAATAACCTGGCCCATTAAGGAAAGTCATGGACACCCTCATGGCCGTAAGAGGAATTGAGTTAGACTTCCCTTAGTATGAAGAATACAACGTTTAAGGGAATATGACAGAAAAAGGCAAGGTTGACAAGGATGTACACTGAAATTCTGTGTGACCTTGGACATAGCATTTATTCTCTCTGAGCCCATTTCCCCTTCTCTAAAAAAGAAACATCTGTCCCATGGAAGAGCTATGATGCTCAAATGTGGTAGCTCTTGCACACAGCAGAAGGCTGTGACCAGTCTGTTTCAGGGCTGCCTTCCAGCACTCAGCAGGTGTTTGTACAGAAGAGGGGCTGAGCTTGTTCTGGGGTCCAGGAGGGCAGTGGGCAGAGACCCAGGACAATATGAGGGGACTCTGGGCACATCAGAGCTGTCCAACCATGCAGCCTGGATGGAGCTCACTCATCAGGAGGGAGGGGTGCAGGCCAGATCCCTGTGACATAGCTTCAGAGGGTTTCAGTCCCTCTGAAGAGGAGGAGGGTCCTCTTGTCTCTGAGAACTTCAGAGAACCTCTGCTCTCTGTTGTAAAGTCCTCCTCCCTGCTAGCTGCCCCCTTGAGTTGGAGGAACTGCCCTCACTTCCCCAGTTTTAGGGTCTTCCATCTGGGGAAGGAGACCTCTGGAAGCTGGAGTGGAAGCCTGGTGTGGGTGAGTGCCTGCAGACGACGTCATAACCCCCAGCATGGCCCTGATAGGCATTGTGGCCTCCAACCACTTGTGTTTCCAGCCGGGATGCCGCAGCAGTGGAGTGATAGTTGGGGGGTGGTTTCATCAGTGTTCCAGGCTCAGCCTTCCATGGAACCCACCCTGAAGGCTGCATAGGAAGTTTTATCTGATTCTATTCCCTCCTCTCCCATTGTGGTACCTCAAGTTCAGCCTCTGGAGCTGCCTTCCTTGAGCACCTCCCAGTTCAAAGCTCTTCTCCTACAGAAAGCCTCCGCAGCCAGCCCCAGGCCCACATGCTTTCTTCTTTCTTCCACAGCATCCTGTCTCCAAGTGTGTTCAGTAATACCTGCTTTGGAGTTGCCAGTAGGGAGGGTGTTCTTCACAGTCCCTGAGGGCTAGGGTGCTATCTTTTAGTTTTTACATTATGATTTAAATTATTAATAAATTTTATGGTGGGGTGGAAATAGCACATCCATTTCTCCCACTTTTTTTTCATGTATTCATTCATTCATTCCATAAAGTATTGGGTTTTTTTTTTTCTTTTTGAGACAGAGTCTCACTCTGTTGCCCAGGCTAGAGCGCCAGCAACTACACATTCCTGGATAAAAGTGATCCTCTCACTTCAATTTCCCAAATAGCTGGGACT